GTGTAATAGACAAAGAAATTTGTATTTAGAGGAAAATTTGTGAGAAAAACAAAACGAAATCAAGTTTTTGCGGCAAATGAGGCGATACGTGAAAATTTCGAGAAAAGACAGTTCAATACATTTTTAATAATGAAAATTTCTATTTACTTGTAATCGGTTTTTCCGCATTACTATAGCTTTTAAAATATCAAATACAGAGACAGTATTGTATAACAGGAGAGTATAATATTATATAAAATACTAAAAGTCTTTTTAAGTCCTGAGATTTGTTTCAAATGTGCTTTAAGTGGATTTAATAGTGAAGTGGAAACTGGTTTTTCTCCAACAAAATTTCATTTCAGTTAAGTTTGTAATTAAATTCTAATTTTACAGATGAAACCCAAAGATCACAATTGAGTCAATATATATGTGTTACACGAGTCTAAGGACCAGCTTTTTTCACCACAAACTTTGTCCTTATTTCCATCGCTCATCCCATCACAGACTCTCTCTCTCTCTCTCTCTCTCCCTCCAAGTCTTAAGTAGTTACTGTATATATGTTTTGATTTGAATGTTTTTAAACAGTTATACAAATAGCAGATCTGATTGAGTGTTAGCACTGTTGCACTGTAAGCACTAGTAGTATAGTTGGATCGCTTGGGGATATTAAAGGTGTTCTTCGCCTCAATTCTAGTTCTCCATCGAATCGAAAGTCGACTCATATTTTGACGCAACGATTAAACTCTCCTTCAAAATAGGGTGGACTCACAGGGGCTTACATTTCATACATTCATAACACATTCAGTATATATAATATTCTTGATTTACAAGAAAGCGATCACTGAAAGGAAAGTTGGTTTTGGTTTAGACACACTTTGCACCAGTTTGCAGCACTCACTATTAATTATCATTTTATTATAATGTGTTTAACCGTTCATATCGTTTAACTTTTACCAAAACTTTTTTAATGCATTAACCAATTGTTGGAAGTGTTTGTTGTGTTTTAGTAAAACAATATCGGATTTATCTCAACACTCAACCACCAGTGCCCTGCGAAATGGTGCGGCAGTTGGCACTGTTAGCCTTACTACAGGTAATCAAAACTCTTATTGATTTAGAAGTTTATAATTAGCTCACAATAACACCATTTGCTTTCTATGGCTGTGCTCTCGTATTTTTAGTACATATTTCAGGATAACTGTACATAACTGTGCAAATAATTAGGTCCACCGGCCATTGCATGCAGTTTTCAGTTTTTATAAACTCCAGTGAAATGTCTGAAAATGTTTTTGAGTCTAAACATGAAATCTTTGAAAACGTGAAAATCATTTCTTCATACGAATGACAGCTCTCTCGTGGATGAGCTCCAGAAAGGAGGACAGTGTTGGCAAAAAAGCTGGTCCTTAGACTCTTAACACATATATCGACTTAATTGTGATCTTTCAGTTTCATCTGTAATAAAATTAGAGTTAGGATTAAGAATTGGGTCAAATCAATAGCCTTTTATTACATTAAAAAAATTATCACTATATCTATACGGCTGCCAAACTACCTGTCTTAGTAATGGTATAAAACTCTAAATTAATTTTAATTGTTTTACTAGTTTCCAGCTTATCTGTCATAATAAGACAAATAGTGTTTATATATTGAATACACCAAACGTTTTGCAAAATAATTGGATTTAAATTTCTAAATGATTTGTTAGTATCGGTTGAGAGATATAGGAATATTTGAGACAATTTTCACATTTTAATTAAAACCAAGATTTTCAAGGATTTCAATTGAAGGCTATATCTGCAAAAAAATCTTCGGTTTATGTTCTAATTAATGCCGAATATAATAATAATAATTAATTTTTATTATAATTTTTATTTAATGTAAAACTTGATTCTGTAATAATTATTTGAAACAATTCTTTGTGCTCTCATTATATTATTATTTTCATACTGTTTTGTCAGTCGTATTGTACGGTATACGCGAGTGTCACACATTTGCAAATAAATTATAATATTTTTGTTTCAGTATTGAATTTTAAAATAAAATTTTTTAAATATACCGTATTAAACAGTTTTTTATGAACTCCAAAAAACAGACACCTTTTTATGTGATTTCGAGAAATCAGACGTTAGATTAGGTTTTCCAGAAAAGGACAAAAATATAAATCACACACTTTTAACAGTAAATGTGAATTTAAGATTGTTCACAAGATTTTTTCAATTGGTTTGCGTTTTATTAATAATTCATATCTTGAATACAAGTCTGATTCCCAAAACTTTTGGTTATTCATTATTTCTCCATCGATTGCCTCAATGTTAATGACGTTTATTTCTATGAATGCTTTCATGCATTATATTTTTAATATATTTATATATAAAATATAATTTTATATTGTAACAATTGGCAATATTCGTATCAGAATTATATAATTTAAATTTTTGTCATGATTAATCAGATGAAAATATTTCAAAAATTTCATATATTGATTGTAAATTCAAATTAATGAAAAGTAGCCAAAATATTTTTAAGAAAAATGAAATTTTTATATATCACATATTTACACTTATATCACAATTTCAATGATTTGTGTCCCTGGTTATTTGTATTAAGGCAATTATGATTTGTTTCTAGTTATTATTAGATATAATTAGGATTAAAGCTTGGATTACATTCATGAAAATCGTTAATTAATACAATTTATATAAATTGTGTGTATTTTGTATTACTGTATAATTATGACCAGGGTAAGCAACACAATATACAGTATTATAATCATTTTATGTTATACTGGACATAAAAATTTGAATTTTGCTGAACATTCTGGTTTATTCTAATTAACATGTTCCTTATCATAAACAATCCCTTTAATTGTATAATTAGTAATAATTGTGTAAATAATAGTAGCTTTAATTGTCTTTACTTTAATGCAAATGAATTCTAAGATTTTATCATATAAACCAAAAGTAAATCAATTCATTACTCGTTTATTACATATAAATTGTTATCAAATAACAAGTACTGCGAATTGTATTATGAATTACTAATACTGTACAGTACAATAACTTACCGTATATAAATATAAAAACATTTACGTTTATTGTATTTATTATTCTTTAGTTTTCATTTTTCTTAATGAAAAACAAAATATGTTTTCAATCTTTAAAGACTTGTCTGCAAACAATTGTCTGAAGAATATTTAATTTGCAAAACTACTGTATTTCCAGAAAATAGCTTTATTTTTATATTCAAACAACTCTTTTTGAGAGCAAACAAAAAGCAAATTGATTCACAGAAATCGAAAATTATATACATTTCAAACATTCATTCAATTCATTCATCCCATGAATGCAAAGTTTATACAAATGTTTGAATGTTTGGTAATTGAGTTTAAGTATTACTTCTCAAAGTATGTCATCTCATCAGTACTCCAGTACTTTCTTATTGTAGAAAATGATTAAAATCTAAAAATGGGAGAGAAAATGAAAACATATTTATTTAAATACAATTTACTATCAGATTTCTTGATATAGTTACGATAAAATAAAATATATTTATATAAATATCTTTATATGAAATTAAGCAGAGGTGTCCAGAATAGGAAAATTGTCGACAATTTAGCGTAACTACTTAGATGATTAAACTTAACCTACAATTTGAAAACAACTTTTTCAATAAAACTTCCCATAAAAAAGAATTTACAGACTAAGAGATCAAAAATACATAAAAAAGCAAAAACAAAAATATTATTTTGCACTGAAATGGGGATATAATTAAGTTATTAGGATTTTATCTTTAGGAAGTGATGTTCAATATTTTAATATAATATTAAATATAATAATATTATTACACTAGTAAATCCTTTTCTTAAAAATTTTCATTCACTGAAAAAATGCTAAACAAAAAACAAAACATTTGATAACAACTCAAACCCATAATTGATATGAAATATTTATTTGAATGCATTATTATTTTACAATAAATTAAAGTCTCTCACGATTAGTCAATAATATAAAATTAATTTTGATAAAGTGATGACTGAATAACATTAAAATTTATCAATAAAACAGTTATGGCTTATCAAGTATGCGGTGGGAGTTGTGCCCCAAATAACATCCCTTAACGTACAGTGCGATCGCACGGGTATGAGAGTTGCCGTCAATTTCGACACTCCTTTCAACGGTATTATCTTCTCAAAGGGACACTACTCTGACCTCAGCTGCCGGTGAGTCCAGCCCTCCGACACTAATTATAAACTCATTTTATATTACTATTAGTCTAATATTACTAAAAATGCAATACTATGGGAAAGGTGTTTACAATTATATACATTATAAAACTATTTCTTCAAATAACACATTGTTTTAAAGATTAAATGATTTGAGAATTGGTTTTAAAAATAATTTGAATATTTAAATTTGAAATAATAGTGTGAAATAAGAGTGAATATTAAATCTAAAACCTTAAGCCCAATAAAGTAGCCAACGAGGGGAATATTTTTAATACCTAAAAAGGCAACAAGATTAGTAATGTAAGAATAATTATTATTAATATCATTCTTTAAAAATTCCCTGGTATTTCCCTGGAAAATACATTTAGTATTCATAAAAAGTGTAAACTAAAAGGTCATTATTTAAACATTTACACTAAATGCCTAAACTCTTATAATTTTAATATAACATATAGTAATGTATCAATATATGATATTGAGAGATTATTATAATTAAAGTTACTAGATCAGTGTACCTAAAACTGTAGCTACAAAATTGGGTTTAAGTCTAAACCATATGACTAAATGAGAATTGTTAGGAAAATAGCCTAAAACTTACTAAATTATAAACTAAATGACGGATAACTGACCCAACACTAGATACTTGACCCCAAGAAGTTCGAGGACTAGTATCTCATTTTTCATACCGTCCACAAACTGCGGAACATTTCAAACCGATCTCAGAAGAGATGGTTCCCTCGGGTTTAAGAATGTAATAATCATACAAAATGATCCCGAGTATCAAGAGGTGTGGGATATGGCGCGCAAAATAAGCTGCGATTGGGTGACAAGGATTGATAAATATGTAACTTTTGCACCGTTTGGTGTCGATATGTTGAACATTAAAGAGCTGACATTCCCGGGCGATACAGTCGACTGCTGGATGGATATCCAGAGAGGTCGGGGCCCATTCGCACCCACCGTTTCTGGCATCGTTCCCATCGGGGAAAAAGTAACAATTGTTATATACATTAGAGACCGGGACTCGACATTTGATATTCATGTGAAGGACTGTTACGCTTATGACAGCCCTTCGTATAACAACCCTAATGTGAGAGCAATACAATTGACAGATTCGAGGGGCTGTGCCATCAAAGAGAAACTCATTAGAAGTTTCTATCGCACGAGAGATGTCCGCAATTCGGGCGCCACTATCATAGCCTATGGAGTCGTCAATGCCTTCAAGTTTCCCGAAGCTATGGATGTTTTCCTCGCCTGTAATGTAGAGGTTTGCAAAGGCGGGTGCGATAGTCCCTGTCAACCAGAAGTTCAGGTGGCCGGTGGGGAAGGGGTTGACGACACGGGAGGGCCCTTCACTGCACCCCCTTTTGATCCACAAGAGAAGCCTGAAGAAGACGAAGGGATGAGCACTACTCCTATGACTTCAACCACTACTCAGAAAACAAGTGATTCTGACGACGATTCAGATGATGAAGATTCTAAGAGTGAGGGAAGTGATGGCAATGACAGTGAGAGCACAACCAGTGGTGGCAATGCTATGACAACCACAAAGACAACTGAAATGGACAATGAAGATGAAGAGGACAGTGAATCGGAGCCAACGTCCTCAACATCGGCGCCATCAGAGGCTACCACTGAAGAGGAATCCGAAGAGGATGAGGACGAACCCAAACCCACTGTCTCTACGGTTTCAGTAAACAAACGAAGTAATTGTCAATATTTTAGACAATTTTAAATACCGGAATCGCTTTAAACCAATGCCTTTCACTTTAGGAGCAAAGCTATCCAAACGACGGAATACCGGCGCTAAAGTCACTTCCAGACAAAGACCTAAACCTAAAGCAAAGATCACTAAAAGAAGTAAAACAAAAAAGAGCCAAAAGTTGACCACTTCTTCGACTTCTTCGACCAACAAAAGAGCAAAGCGTTCACTACTCATAGCAAACGGCATAACAAACGCCACTTTCAATGATATGATTCATTCATTTAGTATTATATCACCGCTTGAGGACATGGATGACCAGGACTTACAGTTCTGGCAGAAACTAAACCCCGAAGAACACAAACTCTGTTTCTCTGCAATCAGTTTATTAATCTCTAGTTTATCTCTCATCACTTTAGCTATACTTTTCGCGATTAGTCTTATGATATCATTAGGAAAACTGCGACAAAATTATCCACAAAAAACTCAATTTTGATGAACAAAACAAAAATGTTGGCCTAAATTACACACAATTTAGAGGTCAATTAATCTAGGATAAATTCAGTTGTTTATATTATGTTATCAAATTTTATTTAACCGTTAGTTTTTTGTTAGTTTACGACATCTTTCCCAAGAAAATTTTTCTTATTATATACACAAGTCTTATACGAAATGTTGTGCCAAATGTCTAATAAATATCTAAATTAAATGTATCTAAAGAAAGCATTACAAAAACAAAGTCTAAAATTTCTCTAAACATCATTTCCTAAATACCAAAAGTAAGTGATCTAAAGATTACAGTATTTAAACGCGATGTCTCATTACCCAGGTACGTTAAGCCCAATTTGGCCGCCAATAACGCCGAGTTCTCGATCCCAGTCGATAAGTGCGGCACAAATACAGTGGACATCGATGGCGAAGACGGGACACCACCAAAACGTGGCTTCGAGAACATCGTGGTGTTTCAGAACGACCCCACCTATCAGGAGGTGTATGACCATGCTAGGATGGTTGTCTGCAGGTATACCCTCGATGACGACTTCGACCTCAAAGAAAAGCGAGTTGTCTTCAGACCGGTAGTCATCGACATGTTAGACGTCGTCAGTGTATGTCTCAACTCATTTGGTTCATTGAAACGGCAATTGAGTGAAGTTTTGTTCATAGATTCCGGTCAGGGATGCGGATGGGGAGCAAACACGGGTCGACTGTTGGATGGAAATAACGAAAGGAAGGTTTCCGCAGACGAGTCCTATTGATAGCGCCGTCAAAGTGGGCAGTCCTTTGACTTTAGCTATCTTTGTGAGAGACCCTCGAAAGAGAACCGACTTACGGGTCAAGGATTGCTACGGTATGCCAGCCCTCACTCTAAACTCATATTTTTCTTACATTATGTCAATAATTACCTCAATATTAATAGCTTACGACGACCCGCAAGTGGCTGAGAGTAACGGACCCGCGCTCCTACAGTTGACTGACTTTGACGGCTGTCCCACAAAACCCAAATTAATTGAAGTTTGGCGGCGAACCCACGACGCCGGTCCTACCGGTGCTACGATTATCGCCTTCACCACCGTCACTGTAAGCCTAATATCATATTGATTTGCATTACTATTAATAGATGCATACATTCTATCAGTTTTATGTGGCAAACAATTTTTGACTTCACTTTCAATTCTTATACCACATAAACATTTTCGAGACTTTATTTTGAATAACTTTTTTTATCGATTAGTTTTGTGAAATCTAAAAATAATTTGCTTCCAATGAACATAATTATTTAAATCTTGAGGCGTCGCCAACAAAGTTACCAGAATTGTATAAAAAACAAAAAAATTGCCTCAAAATGTGGGGTCAAAAAAACACACACAATCCACAGAATTGAGGAAATTTTCATTTGTTTTTAGTGTATTTATTTAAGGCGTAAACAATACCAGAAATAAAATCTCCTTTACTTTACTTT